CAATTCGATCATGTATTACAAAAAAATCGATCAAGCATTACAAAAAAATCTATCATGGATTACAAAAAAAAAAAAAAAAAATAAATAAATAAATAAATAAATAAATTTTAAAAAAAAAATCCGTACGGACTCGCCGATTCCGTACAGTGAATCGGCGAGTCACTGTGCTGAATCGTCTGGTTCTCTCTAAAACCGGATGATTTCCGATTTTTCAACCGATCCGGTCCCTTTTCGCGAATTCCGAGTCGAACCGGGCAAGTCCGGTTCGACTCGGCGTTTTTTAAAACGCTGGTTGTAACTATTGATAAATGCCATTTGTGAAGTATCATAGCTATTATGTATCTGTGCTTTGTGTAGGGTTGTGACTCTTCAAAGTGCCTTTGAAATTTGTAACCCATGGAACTAGTATAGATTGAGTGACGAGTACAATTCATTGCACTGTTTGTCCCTCTTTCTTCTTGCCCTACAGAGAGACTCCTGGTGCTATAATTTCTATGGTGGAGAACTGCCTGAGATATTCTTTTAACATAGTTATTAAAACCGGCCCGGACTGCCCGGTCCAGCCGATCATACCCCCAAAAGGTGCATGTGAGAGATGATTTTTTAACATGGTTATCAAAACCAAACCCTACTACCCGGGCCAAACCCCCAAAAGGCGCCTTAGCTAGTGTGGCCCAAAACAAAAATCGACTTTGGTTAAATATCAGTTGAAACAAATCTTTCACTAGTTTTAACTTAGTTGAAATAGCTGCTTTTGATTAATTGAACTGCCTAAAAAAAAAAATACATAGCATTTTTTTTGTGATATGTTTTATATATTTCAATTAATTTTTTTTCTTTTTAAATACAATTTAATAGACGGTTAAATTAATTTTGATTGAACTAGACTTCTCAATAATTGAATGAATGAAGAGGCACGTAAAATTGGATGGACATCAATTGAGAGGATGGATGTCAATGAATTAGAAGGATAAAGAACGATGTTGCAGTAAAAAGAATGTAATGAAAGGGATGGAAAAAGAAGGATGTGAGGTGAATGAAATGGATGGAGAGAGAACGATATCGGGAACGGATATGTATCATTCAGATCTCTCTCTCATGCTTGTTGAAATGGTAAGCATTATAGTGGATGATTATTTCATGTTAAAATTAGATTGAGTATCACTCTATCGAGTAATACTCAATCTAAGATTAATTTTAGGACCAGGGGAGTAACCTCTTCAACTCATAGACTGACCTCAATAACATAAATCAAAAGATTTTTGCACTCCAACATGTGTATACTATCCATTTACTCACTCAGGCACATGTTACCCGTTCCTTTTTTATCCCAAGCTTGGAGGAGAGAATCTTTATAACCCATGAACAAATATGTACTGGAAAAAATAATAACGCCCGAGGATTGAACAGAGATTAAGTGTCACAAAACTTAGAATTAATATTGTTTTCTTTTGGTAATAATAATCTTAGAATTCATATTGTTTTCTTTTGATAATAATCATCTAATAGAGCCTATGTAGCTCCCAAAATCTAACTAAAATACTCTTTCTAAATAGGTGTTTTGCACGAGTAGACGTGCAATAAATATGCTTCCACAGGAGCATAGTACACAATCTCAGAAAAGAAATTTCTGATGGACTTGAAAAAGATAATGCCTCAAGATTGAGCATAGATTGTCCGTTGGAGAATGAAATATTTAGAAAACCCTAACTTCAATCCTTTTGTTTTAAAAATAAAATAAAATCTAATGATTCTTAGGAGGCTTCTGAAATTCCTGAATGACAAAATCCTTCCGAGTAGGTCTACAAAGGAGGGAGCATTTGTACAGTATATGCTCCAACAAAAGCATAGTATACACGCTTTTGTTTATGTTTCATTTAAAGTGCCGAAGTCTCTCCCTTTCTCTGTGTCTCACTCTCACACAATAAAAGCTTTGCATCTGACCTCAAAAATTCACCCTAAGCCCAAATTCAAAAGCTAGAACATGCAACATAAGCTCCTCCATAATAAAAACATGTCTTAAATATCTTCAAAGCAGAAAGCTGTGGGTGGTTTAGACTTTAGACATGCATGGTGCATCCATCCATCCCCATGAGAAGCAAGCAACAGAATACACCAAAGAGTTGAATCTCCTTCAGATTGGGCTCTCTATCCATGCATTAACTTATGACAAATAGTAATAAATACATGACTAACAAAGCCTGGCTTGGATGGACCACCCAGATCGAACAAAATTGTGCTAAGTATATTGAGGTAATCAGGGGCAACAGAGCTAATCTAATTTACCAAACTTATCAGAAGAGACAGAGACAGAGGAAGGGGGGGGGGGGGGGGGTGTTGTGAAAATAAATGCATCAAAATTTATTCTACCTATAATTCTCATTAAATTACACAGAATTCAGCATTAATCAGGGCCAGTAGCAGCCATGTCGACGTCCATCTTAGATGAACAACAATCACTCTCTGCAGCTCTAGGCAAGGCATACCATTTTGGATCAGTAAGCCCAATACACTTGTGTGAACTGTTTAAATTATGTGATCTTCATGCCTCAGCAAGCCGGAGAAATAAAGGCCATTAGCTTCCTCCATTGGGGCCAAAATAAAACAAAAGAATCTCTCTCTGTCTAGCGTTGAGTCAGAATCCCATTTTGACACACACACACACACACACACAGCGTTGAAACTCACTATCAGAACATTAGACCACACTCGTTGACTTATAGGCTAATTGAGACATAGTGTGACAATCTTTATGTCCCTCATGGAAAGAGAGAGACAACATGCATACCTTTCACCGCTTGTGTTCCCGTTCCCATTTGTACACTGGTCTGTCAGTAGGGGAAATGAGCTCATGATCCTTTAGTCTGTGCTTCAAAACAAAATATGATGCTATGACATCCTTGTTCAGGTGAGCAATTAAAAAAAACCAAAGATCCCCTCATATTTATTGATATTTGACAAGACTCTAAAGGCAAATAAAGTACCTTCAGTTCCTTCTGGTAAGGCATCTCCATGTACATTTTCTCTAAATCATATGCCCTCTTCTTCCTCGCCTCTAAGCTCTTTATAAGATGCTGCTGTTTTTCTGCTTGTGGAAGATGAACCAGTTATCCAAAGCACATCTACCAACATTTATAGGAAATGATTTTTAAAAATTGAAGTACCAATAACTAGGCAGATCAAAAAGGAAATTGCAAATGTCACCAAATCTTTAAAAGAGTCGCATAGACACTGTAAAACTAATAATACATCAAATCCATGAATAAGCCGTTCCGGAAGAACAGATCATTTGTTTCATCTGCTTTCAGATTTTGGATATGGCCCATGAAATTTCACATCAAACTGGCAAAACTGTGAGATTTATTAGTACACTATCAAATAAAACCCAGAAATCGGTGACTCTAACGAACTCCTTTAATTATAAAATCAAGAGTTTCATGATCCTTAATGGTGGCAATAAATGTTTTCTCACAAAGAGTTTCATGATCCTTAATGGTGGCAATAAATGTTTTCTCGCAATTATGTTTAATGCTGATAAAAGTTCACAAAGACGAAGAGCTCCCAGAACCAAAGCAATTTAGAGACCGATCCAGGCGTGACATATCCACAGATGCTTTGGCTTCTCATGTATATGTTGAACTGTAAGATCCAGGAACTCAAGTACAGTTGGTAACGAAAGTGTTACTTAAAACTCTTCAACACATCTGACTATTTTACAAGTCAATCCAACTAGTTTATGTCATTGCTAATATGCATCTATATAGCTTAGCTCATCCTTCCATCTATCTGGTGATTTTCTCTTGATGTATTGTGTTACCAGCATTAATGTAAGTAGCTTTTTTTTTCTGAATTTTGTTGACATTATGCTATGTAGTTAATTAACTGATCTAAAAAGAAACTAAGGCACAGTTATTCCATCACTGAGCCTAGCACTTATTTTTAGATTGACTAACGCACACATCACAGTGAACAACCTCACTTGGCTTGCTATCTTCTGTTGCCTTTTCCATTACTTCTTCTATGTCACTCAAGCACTATAGTCATTCTTGCTGTTGTCCTTTGAAATTATGACTAGTCCTGGACAACAGCCAAACAGTAATCATGCAGATCTGGATACCTTTTTTAAGGTTTTCGAGGCAAGAGTAATAATACTCTCATTCTCTAGATAAACAAAACCAGGGCCCATCTAAAATGTTGTAAAGGATACATTCTAAAGGCTACATACTCATGAAGAATACATCTAAATGATTGTTATATACCACACAAGTATACATCTAACTATATATAAAAAAATCTTTTAATTTTATTGGTGATAGCTTAGTTTAAAGAAAACAAGAAGTGTAAGAGGCAATATTTTCTTCCAATTAATCAAATCATGATTCTGATCTTAGATTAGCAATATATGAATACATGTTCATTTTATAGGTCGCATGTTCCACAGAAACAAATTTAACAATCAATTGCTAGTAAATCAATATGGTAAAAACCCCATGTACCAAATTTGATAATAAAAAACCAAATAGATCATTATTTGAGTTTATCGTATTTGAAGCTACCAGTACACTACATTATGTTCTAAGATGCACAGATTGAAATACAAGTATCCTATCTGACTCAATGATGCATATATTATAAGGTTATATATTACACATTGATTCACTTATATGCCATATCATGGACATAATGTACATCTTATTTACAGTTGACAGCATAAAAAAAATGTACATCATCTTATTCCTACGACACTTCTAACATTCATATTGTCTTATATTTACAAGTATCTTACGAGTATCCAGTAATTATTTGGTGCCATATCATGTTGACATTGAAATGATAGGTATACACAGGTATCTGAGTATCATAGATGTGTTTCATACTACTTTATACGTTTTGCGAGTTCACAGACACTCCTTGGTCACTCTTCTGCAACAACCGTTCTTGTAATTCTTTAGCTTCATCCCTACAAATAAAAACATAGCAATATACTGTAAGAAAAGTTAAGGATCAGGATACCAGCAAAGAGTAATTAGCTATGCAAATACACAGTTCATCATCACGAATTCAGACAATGGAATGTGAGCAATGGTTGGAAAAACAGTGCATGAGAAGGACAATTTTTTATACAACAATATTCAAGTAATGGAATATAATGCAATGTCCACATAGAAAAAGGGAAACTCATCAAATTACCCTTAAAAGATGCATTATTTAACTTTTAAAATATTATTTTGTCCTAAATTTTTAAAATCCCTCAAAGGGCAATGCCATAATAGGGCAATGCCATAATGGGTCAATGATGGGTTAGAAAACATTGGAGGGGTTGTTTCCAGTATTAGCCCTGCATCAATACGAAAGTACTTCTAGGAAAACCGCCTATATGAGATTGATATCACTTTTGTATACCAATGATGTTTCCAACTACCAAATATCTCACCCTAAACAATTTCAAGATATTGGTGTTTTTGAACAATTTTTCACTAAGTCAACCCCATGAGATATTGGTGTTTTTCAACACAAATATCTCACAAAGTTTTTTTCTTTTTGATGTTGTTAACATTGTATTCAAGGAAGAGAGAAAAAAAAAGATACAAAACAGCCAGGGGTCACCGCAAACTTTGTGTGTGTTCTCACAAAGTTACCCTTGAGACATTGGCATGTACAAATACCAAAATCTCACAGGGCGTTCACAGTGAATGTTGGTTCAAAATACCAATATTTCATATAGGTAGTTTTCCTTAAGACCACTTTGGTGCCTCACCGTCTAATGAATTTCCCTAAAAAATAATGATCGAAGGATGGCTATTTTCCAAGTATCCTAGAAAAAGATACTTTCAGTCCCTTGGTGCTGAAGTAGTAAAAGTAAACAAATGACAAATTACATATTCTCACAAGTATTTGTCGATGAACATGAGTATTATGAAATCCCTTCCAATATTCATGCTCACTTAAAACTAAAATAGATTTACGAATTCTTGGTATCCATCACAAACTTCAAACCTTTACTATTGTCTAGTTTAGGTAATCCACGGGCCATCCATGGATGATTCATAAGGAAAAGCAGAAATTTTTCAAAAAATAGTTGAAATTAAGAAGGCAAGAGCTTGTGGAGGGGTGGGGGGGTGGGAATGCAAGACTTTTTTGGGACCCGCATTTAAAAGAATTTGTACCCCTTTCTACCAATCATTGCTCATCCAGGCTCCTCAAACGGTAACTTGCCCCTAGCAAGCCTAAGACCATACTCTCCTCTCCTAACAAACTTGCTTTTATGCCCTAACTTAAACGCCAACACTTGATGCAACTATCAACCAACCTTTTCACAGTTACATAACCAAAAGAACACATCAAAAAAATAAAAAAATCCCATGTTACAAGGACAAGGACACACTGAAATATGTGTAATATGTTTCTTTTGTTGCAAAAAGAATTGTAATCTCACCTTGTATCAAATCCAGCCAAGTAATATGGAGCCTCCGCACACTTGGTCACCAGCAGCGTTCAAAACTGACAAAGTCATCTTGGGACTCATCTAAGCAGACTTGGCTCAATCAGTCTTACAAGAATCGGCCCGGTGTCATCATCCACTCTTAATCTTTAAAGAGACTTCGTCAATTTGACTCGATGAGACTGGAATAGAGATCTGGTTAAGTCCCAAGAGGAGTCTTGAGTTAAAAACATTGGTTAGTACAAACACCCAAGGAACACTCATGAGAGCAACAGAAGTCGAATGATACAATGTTCCATCAAGAATTGTGTCTAAACTACTTTGGGATCATTTGTTTTGGGAGCTTAGATTACTACCAGGTGCAAGGTTCCTGCAACTGAAAAATCACAGCTTGAAACACATTCAACCTAAGGCACTCGCCCATGCCACCCAATATCACCACCTTCAAGAGCTTTGATCTCAAAAATCTAAACAATTCTATCCATCCTCAAATATGTATCATTGTAAAGTAGCATTATCCTTAACAGTCATTTTGCAACCATGCCCTTCCTTCCCCACAAATATCCACGCAACCTCCTCCAATACTGGCCCTAGCAACCATCATGGCAGCGATACAGTTTGATTCGCAATCTGAGGGTCTGAAGTACACAAGATATAATCTGACTCAACATGACACTCACTTCAGCTGAAATTCCTCCATCATTATAGACATCCTAACAGCCATTGTAAATACTGCCTACAACAAACTGCAACCAAATGCACTTCGACATATGAAAAATCTAGTATTCCACCGCTCTCGTCAGACTGAATTCATCATAATCTTCCAAAGATATAACAATTGCCATCTTCATATATGCGACCAGAGCCAGACAAGTTTTAATGCACCTATACTAATCCGTTGCAAGCAGAACAAAAAGGCACTCTTCCAAGCATAACATCTCCATATCATCCACATCAAACCACTCCTTTCTTAAAATTTGCAACTCCTGTTTTTATTGCATATATTACATTCAACAACCCGTAATGCGTCAACAAACGTAAAATTCTTGGAGACAAGATTCGAATGACCTATTTTTTAAAACTTCCAAACAAAAGCATAACCCAGATTTCTAGAAAAGAAAGTAGACCATTAGATCTTACACATGCTTTCCTGTTCGTAGAATCAATAATAGATGCCAAGAATGTGAGAAGCCCAACATAAAACAACCGTGCAACTTTTTAATTTGACAATCCCATCCTTCTTCTACCAACCCATTCTCCCTCTTCAAGAAAATACTCCTTGTTCTCCATTATCGTTCATCAAATAACCTCAACCACTTTCCCCTATAAATGTTTCAAGTATCGCCTCTCTAACTTTCCATCTATCCTCTCTCCTTCCTTCACTTTCAGTGCCCTACATTTGTCAGCGTATTTATCATCATGAGTTGCATTCTACACCAATTGCAGCTAGATTTTCCTTCATTCTTGACCTCCAAAGAAAACCAGTTCGAGACTTTGACCCCTTGCTTTCAGCTCCACCTTGATCCACGAACCCCAACAACTTCCTATTCATACTAAACCGATTAAATCATCACCCATCTAAGAATTATTTCTTGAAGATTCCTACAAGATGCAAATTTTTGCAAACAATCCATTTGTAAGCTGTAGAATTCGAAGCAGACTCTCAAGCTTATCAACTGCCCTCTCCCAATATTTTACCTGCCATTTGCTTCACCTCTCATGCGTATTGTTGAGATCAAGGGTAGCAAATGGATACTCCATTAATATCCAATTACAACTCCACCCAAATTTTACACTGCAATGGTTAATACAAAATGAATTAAAAACTATTATTTGAAATGTAAGATATATGAACAGCTGTGCACCTTTAGTTAATCTATATAGTTAGATGAACTTTAAAGGAATATTGGACCTCAAAATGACAACATCATCATCATCATCAACAACAACGTAGCCTTTTCCTAACTATTCGGGCTTGGCTACACAAATCCTGGTCTACCATTCTGCTCTATCAAGGGTTATACCCTCAGTGAGGCCATAAGTCCCCATATCTTTTCTCACTATTTTCAACCATGTCCTTTTGGGCCTACCCCTTACCCTTTTTGAGCCTTCCTCTTTAACCAACTCCTACCTCCTAACATGTGTTGTACTGGATCTGCGTTGTAGATGGTCAGTCCAACTAAGTCTACTTTCACTCATCTCATCGCCTATTGGAGGTATTCATTTCGAATTCTATCCCTTCTTTGTCTTGAATCAAAACTATGTCGTTCGTGTACAATATACACCACGGTACCTCATTTTTTAGGTGCCTAGTTAAGTCGTTCATAACTAAGACAAAGAGATATGGGCTCAATGCTGAGGCCTAATGTAAACTTATTATCACTGAAAAGGAGGTGGGTTGTGTTAGGTAGGAACTCAACATTGACCTATTGTCTAAGAAGGGTGAGGACCTCAAACTTTCCCTTAACCCGTCCCAAGCCAAGGTCAAGGAGGTGGTTTCTGTTAGACAATCAATATAAAACTTTGCCAAAACTTTCCATGAATCTTGAATCTACGTTATCTGCTTCGCAACAACATACAAATGACAAAAAGACGGGTTTAAGTGGTAAACAAGGAGCATATCATATATGAGGTTGCCTAAACACCCTATAAATAATTAACTGTTAAGCTAAGCCATGAATTTAAGAAATAGCAAGCTCGACTCCATCATTAGAACCATTACTCTATCATTAGCTCCTCAAACTAATTGAATATGTGATTAGGACTATAAATATAATCACTTGCATGGTTTTCTTCCTCTTCACTTAAGGTTTTAAAAACGCCGATCTGGATTGGAATCACCCAATCAGATTGGGAATCGGGAATCAATGGAACCAGTCCAGCTACCACCATATATTGAGAATCGATCAGTTTTGTCAGTGAGCCGGGCCAAATCACCCGCTTTCTATATAAAATTCATTTATTGTATTTTAAATTTTTTATTTTTAGATTTGTTTTATTTACCTCTCCAGCCCCACCGCCACCAGTGCATGGAGTGCCATAAGTATGCATGTCATTTTCTTAGGTGTGACTCCCTTTTAAAGGGCTTTGAATCCCTTGTCTTCATCATATCCTCAACGTAGGATTAAAAACAACAACCCTTTTCCATCTCTCTTGCTCGATCAAAATAAAGCCTTCTTCAATCAGAACCCCACTCCCTTATCCAGAGAAAAGCTCTAAAATGAAAACCCATTATATCATCATCATCATTTTAGCCTTTTCTCAATTAATTGGGGTGGGCTACATGAATCTTGGTTCTCCATTCTGTTCTATTAAAGGTCATATCCTCAGTAAGGCCATAAATCCCCATTTCTTTTCGAACTACTTCCATCCAAGTCCTTTCGAGCCGACCCATTGTCCTTTTTAGTCCTTCCACTTGAAGTAACTCCAATAGGTGTTGTAAACTTGGTCGAAACCACACATGGCCAGCCACTTTAAGTCTACTCTCTCTCATTTTATCGCCTATTGGTGCCACTCCTAAATTCTCTCGAATAGATTTATTTTAAATTCTATCCCTTCTTGTCTTGCCACTCATCCAACTCAACATCCTCATCTCTGTTACACTCATCCTATGGGTATATTGTTTTTTGTCCGCCCAACATTCCGCCACATAGAACAAAGTTGGTCTCGCATCTGTCCTATAGAACTTCCCCTTTTGCCTCATTGGTATGTGGCGAACACATAAAATTTTAGTTGCACATCTCCACTTCACCCACCTAGCTCTAATTATGTGTATGCCATCTTCCTCGATCTCTCTATTTTCCTAGAATATCAAACCATGATATCAAAAGTGCAGTCTTCTTTATACTTCCTGAACGTCAATCTTAAGTACTTTTTGTCTTTACTCTTATTATTACTAAACTTGCACTCCATATACTTTGTCTTAGCCCGACTAATTTTAAAACCTTTGGATTTTAGAGCATCCCTTCAAAGTTCTAACTTTGTGTTGACATCGTTTCGGGTCTCATCAATCAAAACTATGCCATCTACGAACAACATGCAACACAGTACCACATCTTGTAGGTGCCTAGTTAAGTCATCCATAATTAAGATAAAGAGGTACGGGCTCAATGCCGACCCTTGATGTAGACCTATTGTCTCTAAAAACTCACTCGTTTCTCCATTGATCGTTTCTCCACTAGTTGTTCGTACACTAATTAGCGCTCCATCATACATATCTCTCACTAAGTCAACACTCGTCAAATCAAATCTCAAGGTACTCTGTCATAAGCTTTCTCTAGATCAATAAAGACCATGTGGATGTAAAGGTCTTTTCCCTTCGCCCTAAACTTCTCAATTAGTTTCCTAAGTAGGGAAATAGCTTCAGTTGTTGACCTTTTGGGCATAAAACTAAATTGGTTTTCAGACACTTATTTCATGCCTTAGTCGTTGCTCAATAATTCTCTCCCAGAGCTTCATAGTATAGCTCATAAGCATGATCCCTCAATAGTTTACACAATTTTGTATTTCTCCTTTATTCTTGTAAATAGGTACCACAATACTTTTGCTCCATTCATCTGGCATTTTCTTTGTTCTCAACACCTTGTTGAACAGCTTCGCCAGCCCGTCAATGTCAATTTCCCTCATGCACTTCCAAATCTCTATCAAGATACCATCTGGTCCCAAAGTCTTTCCTATCTTCATCATTTTCAAAGCTTCTTTCACTTCCGACATCCTAATCCTATGAATGTATTTATGACCTCCGCCGTCACTTGTACCAGCAGTCCCTTCTACCACTATTTTTTTTTTTTTTTTGATAACTGTCAACATTTGTATTGATAAAGAGAGATAGATACAAAAGAAGAAAAGGCAATACAGGAGTGCCTAAAACCTAGAACTCCTGGTAAAAAATGGGTCAACAGACCATAATCAAAATGGGGTTATAAGAATTCCCCTTACAAAGTAAAGTGTAAGTGTACAAATAAGATACATAGGGGGCGAGAAAGAGAAGCAAAAACAAGAAAGGCACAATCCCTTTGAGCTAAGCATAAAGCCCATAACAAAACTAATCTTCAGCGGGCCCTGGCTCCATCCTTAGCTAGTAAATCGGCGAACCCGTTCGACGTCCTTGAGATAAGCGTCCATAAGATTTGCTTATCCCTGCAGAGGTATTTGATTTCATCAAAAATGGGTAAGAGGTACCAAGGGTAAGGAGTTGTCTTCGAAGCCCAAGAAATAATGTTCTTAGCATCATGCTCCACAAAGAGAGACTGTCCCCAAGACTGACCGAAGCTTTGAATGCCTCTAAGGAGAGCCATAGATTCAGCGAACTGCGAATCATGGACCCCAATGTATTCAGAGAAGGAGAAGAGGACGTTTTGAAGATGGTCTCTAAAGATCCCTCCTATCCCCGCATGACCAGGGTTGCCTAAAGAGCAGCCGTCAAAATTGAGTTTGATAGTTCCTTGGGGAGGAGCCGTCCAAACAGGATTAACTTTGTTTTTCTTTGGGTTATGGAATAAAATCTGCTCCCAATTCCGGCTGAAGGAGTCCTTAGAAATGCCTTTGAACCAGGGGTGGTTAGCCGCCCAGAATGTTACCAAGGAGGTAACTTTCAAGAATAACAGAGGAGCAGGGATGGACTCCCCCCGAAAAATACGGCCGTTTCTTTCATTCCAAATGGTCCAAATTGTTGCTGCCACAGTAGCTTTCCAAAGGATTCTACTTGTTTTCGACCAGTGCGCAGCCAAATTTAACGCGAAAAGATCTTTTATCATTGGGGGTAAGACCCAAAGCACCCGAAACTGTTGAAGGCGTAGACTCCAAATCTCATGGGCCACTTTACAGTGTAGGAAGAGGTGGTTATTGGATTCCTCTTGGTTCAAACACATGACACACCTATTGGGAATAGGGATACCTTACCTTTGAAGTTGATCCACTGTGAGCACCTTGTTTGATCCTGCAATCTAGTTAAAGGTTTGCACCTTTGGGGGAGCAATGGTCTTCCAGACTATTGCGAGGGTCGAAGTAGGATTGAAGGGGAGAGTGGGGGTTGGATGAGACTTTTGTAGAAGGAAGTAACATTGAAATCCTCAGAAGGGGCAAGGGACCACACCAACTTGTCCCTCCCTAGCATCGGGATGAAGGTGTTGAAGAGCAATGACGAGAGAGAGAGAAATTGAAGAGATTCGTCCTCGGAAAGGTTCCTTCTAAAAGAAGGGTTCCAACGTCTCCTACCACCTTCAAGTCTGAACTCGTCCTCAATTGTTGCTTCTCTATTCCTCACAACAAAGAAAGGGATGGGAATAATTTAAGGGGGCATCACCTAACCATAAATCCATCCAAAACCTCACTCTAGTTCCCTCTTTAGGGCAGAATCTTATGTGTTTCCTGAAAGAAGAAAGGGAAGACCTCCACACCCCTGAAGCGTTGGACCAATATCTGTTCTCTAGGATCCATCAAGGGGTCGGGACATGGTACTTATTCCGAAGAACTTGCGCCCATAGAGAATCAGATTGGGTGGCCAAACGCCACCACCATTTCCCTAAGAGGGCTACGTTGTGTTTTCTCAAGCTTCTGATTCCCAGCCCCCCTTGATTTTTGGGTAAAAGAATCTTATCCAGGAAATGAGATGGAACTTCCCCCTTTCGTTGACCTTGTCATCCTTCACCAAGACCCTTTGATCCTCACTATCAATGCATTTAATATGGTTCAGATCACTACACTTTTTCTCTTTTATTTTTGCTAATTTGAAGATATTTTTTTCACCTTCTCTTGTTCCCAATTATTGTATAGATTATCATATGCCTTAAGTTT